AGAGAAAGGCTATAAAAATAATCACTAAATTCGGAATCGGTGAACCAGGACTGCAATGAGGTCTCCAGCAACGTTCATGGCTCTGAGCAAACTTTGTTTCAGAAAGAAATGTTTTGCTGTTATTCCATTAATCCTGTTACTTCAACCAACAAATTCTAGTTATCAAAGGCTTCATTTAAATCATTAGCTAAGCTTAAAAATGGAAAGGCAAGTTTCATGTTATCAAAAAAAAGGTAGATTTAGAAGAGTACTTTCATTAAAAATTCAAGGGCAATTTCTTTTTAATAAACACGAGTGTAAAAAGTCTTCACGGGCTGGGTCAGACTGGCAAGTCCCTTTAGCTGCACACACCCGCCCCGGCAGAGGCTTTGCAATGACTAGCAAGAGCCCATCCGCGGGTGGGGGCTGCTCACAGCTGTTCATCATTCTTTTGGACAAAATTTTGTCAACTGAGTAAGATGACATTAATAAAACAAAGCTAGGACACTGCGACGTGAGGAAGACCCATCATCACGTAAGATGACGAGAATGCTGTGCTGTTGCAGAAACGTTCCCGCTGGGAGCCCCTTAGCCGGGCTCCGCTACTGGGCGAGACAACAAACTCGCACTTTTAATTTGAACGAGGATTGCAGACAACAGCTTAAAAACGATCAAAACACCCCAACCTGCACAAAAATCAACACGCCAGTACTTTCTCTTTCAAAAGGGCGCATGCTGAAGGGCTGATTACACGTAAGCCGAAGCCAGGCCTCACAACTCGGGTCTTGGGCATAAAGGAGGCCGATGCTGAGTGTGCACTGCAGCCCTGGGCCCAGGGCCAGCGGCTGACCAAGGCCAGGTCACGGAGCAGAGACGGGAGCGCAGGCGGCACGTTCCGGTGGTCCTCGCTCCACACACCTCCCAGAGTGGCCAGGATCAGGTGGGCCCATGGGCGAGCCAGGACACCGTGGGGGCACACCACCTGGCGCAGGTGGTCAAGTCACCCACGGAGAAGGTGCCTCTTGAGGTGCAAGTTTTACTAAAACTCCCGGACACCTGAATGGGAGATTTCAATAGATGCTCAGGCGCCCTGTCAATTTAACCTGGGGATTAAAATCCCATCAGCAGCAGCCACCAGTGCTTTCAACTGTCCCAGTGAACCAGGCAGAAAGTCTGAAACCCGACCCAACAGCCTGCCTCCTGGCCCCAGGGTAGCCACCAGCACCAGCCTTAGTCATCTTGGCGGAGAGCCAGAGCCACGGCCCCCAAGGACGTCCCTCCTCCAACAGCACGTGAAGCAAGTTTGGCAGGCTCTAGAACAGGAGACCTCAAGCTCTCCCACTGCGACATCGCTTCTCCAAGTCTGCGGCAGCGCTGCACAGGCCAGCTGCAGGGCAGGGCTGAGTGCTTCGCCCCCAGGCATCAATCCTAACTTGTAAGTCCTTCATTGTCATCCCAAAGTCCTCCGGCCTCTTGTCCCCTAAGGCGGCCCGTCCAGCACCACCCCGCCACCACCGCTGGCAGTCCCAGGCTGAAGTCCTCCAAGTTTCCAAAGATCACTGCATGCTCCATCCGCATGGCCACTGTCACCAAATCACACCTCTAAAGGTGTCAATTTTTGGAGCTAAATCTCTAAGTAAAACACACTAAAGTATAAAAAAGGATCTAACACAACAAAGAACAGAACTAGGTTTTTACGGGTATCATTGCATCAGGTCAAGTTTACACACCTAGGGAAACAGTGCACTTCGTGAAACTTTCACCACATCCCATGTGGCTGATAAGGCCCTCAGTGCCCAGCCTGCAGTGAAGCTAGAGCTTAGGCTAAGTAGGAGCTGGCCCCTAGGGCCCCTAAGTGGGAGGGCTGGGGGAGGGGGAGGGCTGGAGCACAGCAAGGAGATGGTGCTGGAGTGCCTAACACTGACACCTAGCAGACGGCCAGGCGGGGTGGGGGGGGGCAGTTGTTGGCAGTCATGGAAGATGAACCCAGGAGGGTTAAAGTGGGACCTAAAACCAGCTGTCACTGACTTTTACAAATACAAACTTTGCCAAGCATTTTAGTAGCACACTTTTAAGTAACTCTAAATGCTGGCCCAAGGAGCTTCCACAAACCTCGAAGATGACTGTGATATACAGGACAGCTGGGCACTGGAGCCTAAAATAAACCCCTTCACGTTGTGCTTCAGGTGACAAGTTAAACTTCAAAAACATTTGCTCCAGGTCTCCAGACCAGAACCACATATATACTTCTAGTGGTCTGATGTTTCTTCAGAGTACCCATCAAGGCTACTTTTAGGGTATTCTCGGTACACGATCAGAATGACCTATTACCCAGGGGCAGGGCCATTGAGCACTTGTAACCCAGTTAACGAGCAGGGGCCAGCTTTCCTTAACTGTGAGGCTATTGCATAAAATTAACTGGGTCTGCCTTTTAAGAGTCAACCCTCATCACCCCTCACCTGGCCCTGAGTACATAAACAGGTGTAACCAAGCCAATGGGGTATTGGGAAGACACTCTGAAACTGGTGGTCTGGATCTGAGAGCAAGTTGGCCACACCCTCCGACTTTGAAGGCAATGCTGAAACCTGCAGAAAGTTCTACCCCACGAATGCCACACGCTGGCCTGTTTGGTTCCACTGCAAGCTGGACTTGGGACACATTGGAATGACAGTCACCACAGTGCAGTGCTGGTATGTTTGACAGTTCGCACACAGTACTGTTTTTGAGCAGAGTGAAACTCGAATCTGTAAACCGGTCACCCGAACTCACACCTAACGATTAGCTTGGGGATAAATTTATAGAGAACGTAGAATGATTCTGTAACCATCCAGAAACGGGGCCTGTTCTAGAAAAGCAGTAGCACATGACATGCCAGGTGGCTTTGGGGTGTGGCCCCCAAGGGCCACCAAACTGCTAGTCAGCAGCAGCACTGTGCTGGCTGCAATGAGTGGTCACTGCAGTGGGGACAGTGGCAGCCCACCAGGATGTGTATGCCAAGATTGGGCCACTGGCAGCAAAGATGCTTTTGGCTTCCACACCCCAGGGACCTGCCTATGGGAGGAAAAGTCGTCGAGTTCCAGGCCAGGCACCGAGAGCCAGCTGAAAACCTCCATAGCTGTGGGAGGCAGGGCTGCCCGCTGGGCCAGGCCCCTGCCCAGTTATATCCGTTTCTACCCGCTGGCCACATGCTGTGATGGGAAGATTGTTGGGGTGAAGCTGTGTGAGAACTAAGCAGGCTGGTGCTCTCCGGGGGCAGCCACAGTCAAACTGGCTCATTTCCCAATATGCATGAAAATAGGAGGGGGGGCTGTCGCACTGTTAAGGCTGGATATGGCGCTATGGGATCATTGGCCACTGGGTGGCACTGGTGGGCCTCAGTGGAGCGCAAGACACAAGTCCCACTGTGCTGCTGCGTCCCTCTGGGCAGCTGGGGAGAGGCCCGAATGAAGCCACGCCAGGAAGGGCAGACATGGGGCACGTGCCTAGCCTGGACAGCCCTAAACCCTGTCTAGTGACAGCCCTCCTGCGACAGCTCTGCACAGGCACAGCACAGGGTGAGAAGCCCTGAGCCACTATACATTGCTATGCACCTGCACCTCTCGTCCTCCCCAGACTATGCATGTGTACCCTAAACATCCCAAACCTAAAACTCGACCACACTGAAGCCCTGGTGGTCCTACTTCCCGAGAATGATTGACTGTAAAAGCCAAAGACCTCAACTGAGAAAGGTTTCTGGTGTGACCACTAGCAAGTCAACCGTGTGGTAGGCACACGACATGGCACACCAAGTGACTGGTGGCCTTCGCAGGGGTTCCCCTCCCTGGAACTGCCCGCTGACCCAAGGACTGGGCACCCGACTTCACAACACGACCTCCGCACACCACCCACTCCACCGGGTCCCGCGTCCAAGCAGCAGTAAGACTGAAGCTGCCACCGCTGCAGGAACCGTCTCTGTAGAAGGGACCAAGCCCAGGGCCGGGGCAGCGCAGCAGCTGTGCGCACAGGGGGCTCGCCCCGCCCTCCACCCCTGTCCCATCGGGGCTTCCTAGGTGAAAAGGCACCACCACCAAGGGAAGCATTTGATTTTGTGCTTTTGTGTCAAAAGACACAACTTCGCAAGTAACAAGCCAGCCCAAGCTGCACCCTGCTGCCCTTCCCCTTTGGGTGCCTGCGAAGGTCAAACTGCCATGGTTTGGGTGATGTGCTTGTCTAGGTTGGCTCGTTCAGACGTGTTTGTTGTGACACCTTCAACAGAGAAGTGTGTACACCTCCCCGTGAGAAACCGTCCGGAGGTCAGTTTCCTGTCTTTCTCAGGCTCAGTGTTCCGAAATTAAACTCTGACCCGATTCATGGTGGACTGGTCACACGGGACAGTGGGCCATGCGCGACACAGACCACTAGTGTGAAATGTGATCAAGGCCTCGTGGGGGACGGGCGTGTCACCTGGCTGTGCAGTGGAAGTGCCACTTTGCCACTATCTCCGAACCAGTCACCAGGCATGCCCGTCACTCTAGTTTAATCGTCACTTGTTTGTGCCCAAATTTACTACTTCAAGCAACCTGACAAGGCCTTAGGGGCACATCGGGCTAGTCCAGTCGCCCTCCCTGTCAGCCCCTGGTCGGAGCGTCCCATCGGCAGACCCGGACGGGCCATGCGGAGCGGTTACCTTTGTGCCCTTCTGGCTGAAGTCCTCCAGGCTCACGCGGTGGCACTGCCCCAACCTTCGTTTGTATAAGTGAAAGTGGCCAAACTTCTTAGCCGTCTTCTAAGTTTACTTCTTTAATTCCCAGAAGCTAAGGACATAACTACGTGCACGGCTTTGTGCAACACGCAAAAACGAAGGTTAAGTAACTTACAACTTTATACAAATGCAGCAGAAACCGGTGCACCACACCGAAGGGACTGTGACAGCATCTTCGGAGCCGACCTTTGGACTGACACTGACGATGCCACCAAAGGGACCCCCTAGCATCAACTGTCAATAGTTATGAGTGGATCCGCAGCTCCAAAAGGTCACATGGAGGTCACGGCAGGCGAAGTGAGTGGGGCCCCTCATCCCAGGGGCTGAGCACAGAACTAAGGACTTTCGTCTCAAATGTTAGCTTATGTACATGTCAAATCTTCCCTGACCTAATTTTCTAAAGAGCTATTTTTTTAAAGGCTTGTAAAAAGTAAAAACACTTTTAAAATACCAAAGTAATGTCTGAGAACCAAGGAAATTCCAGCTGTTAGGCCAGTATTAACAACAGCTGTCGAGCTAAGTCTTTCATCAGTACAAGTGTGGGTGGTTCCCTCTAGCTGGGGGAGAAACTGGTTCATAGGTACAAAGTCCGGTTTGTCCCCAAGAGATTTTATTGCCACTGACAATTCTGGGAGACAGGTAAAAATGGCTCACACAGCTGATCACACACGAGACCCTCCGCCCACTCCTACGCCACGTGCCAGGTTCTCGAACCCCAGATTCGTCACAGGGAGTTCGTTCCCCAAGGATCTGTGAAGCGTGCTCTGGAGCCCGTGCCGCCAGGCCCCTTGTGAAAGCACACGTGCTCTTCGGTCCGTTTCGCCATGGCACGTGGACCACCTGTGTGGCGTGCACGTGGACCATGGGGACAGCTTGCGTCCGGGCGCGACGCTTACCAAGCCGTCTTGGTTGGTACAGGCTGTCAGCATTTTCCATTTTAATTCTCAAAGCTAGATGAAACTATAGAAATCTCATTTTCCAGTCAAAATTTGTTCAAATCCCCAGTGTTTTAAGTCACCTAACGAGCCATTTCAGGAGTCCAGAATACTAGGGACTGTGCCTACGAATGTGAGTAACAATTCTGCTACCCAAACCCACCAAATCAGGGACATTTTAGAAGAACGTTTTCAGCTCTCTTCACACCTGGACAGTAACGGGAGGAGAATCATTCGCGGAAACGAAGAGAAGAAAAAAGTTACGAAAAACATTGACGTGGAGCAGAAATAAAATGGTAATTGTTCCCGTAAGTTAAGAAACTACACAGGATCCTCAAGAGCTCGCCAGAGGGCTGACTGGGCGTTATCGGCATCAGCCTGAGAACGCGCACGCCCACTGGCTCCTGCGGCGGGGGCGGACAGCTGCTGCGAGGGTGCGCCCCTTTACCGGGGCCCCGCCGTGCTGACGAGTGGCGCTGTGCCCCGAGGTCGGCGTGGCAGGCGGGGACACCCATGACACATTCGGGAGCAGCAGCTGGTTCTCTGGACTGAGCGAGGATCCTCATACCTGGGTCAATGTGGATGCCTCCTCCTAGGAAGTGACCCAAAGTCTGCTACACCCCAAATCTCAGCACCCCCGACCTGGAAAGGAACTACAGCCGGCCATGGAGGCAGGTGGGGCTCCTTGTGGGGACGCTGTGCTCTGCGACCACCCCACTATCGCAACTGGGGGTGGATGGTCTGGGGACAGCGGTGAGACACAGCTGCCAGCCAGAGGCTGCTGTCGGCATTTGCCCCTGACCTTTTCACTCTCCCCAGTCACCTTCTGGGAAGATGACAATTCTGGGATAACGAAATAAATCGAATGCAACTAGCTCGAAAACGTGTCCCTCATGCAGGCCGTAAGTTCTGGACATCCGCCGGTTCTACTTGGGTGTCAGTGTCCAGAAGGGAAGGCGGCCGGTAATCGGTTTCTCTCTCCGTCCCCTGAAGCACGTGGAGCTTCAGCCAGGAGCTGACGCGGAGCGAGGTGAAAACCCATCTGTGAGCAGAGAAACCGGCCTCCTTGGGGACCGGTCCCATTCCCTCGAAAATAGTGAGACCTGAGCCCAGAGAGCACCTCCTGTCCCACCCTCCTCCACGCCCCTCCCCGCTGTGCCCCCAACTCCTTGGGGAGCCCCAGGGCAGCTGTCCAGTTCTAGTCAACAGATGGGGAGATTAACTGATGGGCTTTCGTGCTGTGCCCTGGGTGTTCCTCGTTCTGCTCCAGGCCTATGACCACCTCAGGGTTTCCCCACCTGTCCACACGGGTGATGCGTGTTTTTAGTGCGTTCTCCACCTCTGTGAAGTGCTACTTCGTAGGGTTGCTGTGATTTGATGAAAGTTTGAGACATACTGTTAGCGTAAAATTCTGAGCTCAAACAATCTAAGGTGTCGTTGACTCATTTTAATACAGCAATTGATTGATTCCGTATAACCTACTCCTAAAATAAAATCAATCTAATATTGCTTTGCAATTCACTTGTGACTCCGTATTTTAGGCCTTGGGCCACTTAGTGACACGTTTTTCTAATTCCACTGTAGCTGGCACCTACCTACTTACTACACGAGCCCCAGCCATCAGATGGCTGCTAGATGGCTGGCACGGGGAGGCGGCATGCCGCTGCAGGCTTGGAGTTTAGAGCTATTTAAACTTTTGATGCTCAAAAAAAAAAAGGCATAAAACAGTAAAAATGACAGCATAAATAAAAGCTGAACAGAAATCATCTTAATAACAGAAATATGCTCTATAATTTAAATTTCCAAATTTTAATCTTGGAAAATTAAGCTGAAAAATAAAAAGAAACCAACAAGATTCGAGCTGCGTAGCCGAACCGGGCTTTCAAAGGTCTACGGGCAGTACCTGATCTCCTCCACGTGAAGTCGGGGCTGGGGCTGCCCCAGCGGCCCGGCGGTCAGAGGGCGGGCTGGTCACTCCTGGCGGTTTCAGGCAGGACACACAACACACTTACCGTGGACACGCGAAGCCGCGGGGAATGGCTTTCGAAGCGTGAATGTGTGTCTATGTGGGTGTATAGTATGTGGATTGGAAAATCACTTTCAACTTCTGAAAATCGTAAGTTGACTACGAGATGCGACACTAATAAGCAGAAATAGACTCCCCCAGGGTACAAAAGGGATGACTCCACGTGCCAAAAGAGGGACGGGGTGGGAAAGTTCGTAAAGCTAACAGGGTCGCAATAAAACGGCAAATGACGTTTAGACAGTGATGAGTTTTGAGCGCCAGGCAGGGCGTCTGCTCGCTCGGACTTTGCTGAAGACAATGCAAATACTTACCAGAGCCTGACAATGAGAACCCATTAGACACGAGCCGGCAGACGCCAGCAACGAGGCCGCGGCAGCTCTGTGAGAGACGGCTTGGGGACACTCGCTCCAACCACTGGAGGTGCGGCATTTAAAGTGGCCACAGGTCCTAGCTCTGGACAGGCCCAAGTGGGCAGCTGTCCAGAAAGACCAGGAAAGAAGGGTGCAGAGGCGCCTCCTAGGTGATACGTACATTTACACAACAGCGATGGCCACGGGGCGGCAGTCTGCTCTGGCTTCACGGCATTGTAATTATGGTCGCTGGCCCAGGATGGCGTGCTGCTCTCACAGGTCACGTCTTTCGTAGGGACCTCGCCCCTCGCGGGGGCCGCCACCGCCTTCTTCAGGGTGCTCTCCTTCTTGTCTGGAACTGCTCTCTTGTGCACAGAAGAGATTTTAATGCCTGCCTGGATAATCACCAAAACCCCGAGCGTTAGGGAGGTCAGAAATTATCAACTTTGGCTCACTTTGCTTCTCAAGGGAGGGGAGGACACGCTCGGGTCACCTCCAGCTCCCCCACCGCGTCTACAGGGTCGCACACCAGCCGACCCTGAGGACCCCACTGTCAATGGCCGGAACTCCACGACACGGAGTGACACCAAAGCCCCCAGCACAGGACAGCCTGTGACCCTGCTGCGGTGCAGGCGATGCGGTGCCACAAGGCAACAGCGAAGTAGGGAGGGCCTCGGTGCGACAAAAGGCCAACCAGCACGGCTGGGCGAGGGGAGCACCGCCAGAGGGGACAGGCCAGGCGGCACGCCCAGCCCCTCCCACTGCACACAGTGGCCGCGGCTACGCTGGCAGTTCTGGTTCAAAATCACCAGCCTTAAAAAGTAAGCCAACTAAAATCTAAATGGCATTTAAAAATGACAGGAAAACTCCTCAAACAGCACTAGTTATGCTCTGCTTGTCACAAATGTAACGGGGGCCGCAGCACAGCCCTGCCAAGCAAGCGAACACTCCAGGAAAGGTCTTCCGGTGTGAGACACGCATGATGGCTAAAATGTCCTTGGTCCTTCTTGCTTTGCACGTGGTATGAACACGGGACCATCTGCAGGCCAGGAGTACGGCGCACAGCCTCACCAAGGGCCCACTGCCCGCCCCGCTGGCTGCCTGTCAATCTACCTGCCAGTTTATGGACAGAAGACCTGGCTTCTCAGCAGCAGCCACTGCCTGGGTGCGCCTTCCTGCGTCTGGATCAGTTAACCCTCAGCTAGAGGGTGGGGAGCAGAAGGACAGGTGGTGGCAGACGCCCTCCGCCTACGCCGCCGCCCCTGCACTCTGCGAGCTCAGGCCGAGGCCGCAATGCGGGTCCACCTGCTGCCTCAATGAGTCAAGCGGCTGCCGGGGGCGACGTACCTGAGCGCTGCCTTTGGGAAGGGTGAGCTTTTCGGCCTTCGCCTTGGTCTTCTCCTTGGGTTTCGGTTTCGGTTCTTTACCTGAGCGCAGGAACTGCATCGTAGCAGCGGCGTGCTTCAGGATGCAGTCGTTGCTGCAGTACACCGAGTCGGGCTGCGCCACGCTCGAGCACCCGGGGCCGATGCACCTGGCGGCACCAGGAGCCTCTGCAACCTGCGGAATAAAACGTGTGACTTCAGATAGCGCACTTGGCACCAGGGCAATTAATGGCACTTTGTAAGATCACTCACTACCCACAGTACCGAGGTCACTGCTGCTCGTCAGCAGACGATATTTGATAATGAAAACAATTTACTTAGAACACACGAATCTACTTTTCTCGTGTAGGCATGCACATTTATTTGTCAATGCCCTTCACGTCAACCATGGTAGGCCCAATTCTAAGAGAACCCCAGGACCCTGCCCTCAGGACACAAGCTGTGTCCTTGTGAATGCAATGGGATTTCACACCCACAACTGGGCTCCCTTACGAAACAAAAAGCAGATGTAACTTAGGCCCCAGAGACAATGATTCTGAATTACTCAAAAGGGTCACACCGGCCTCCCAGATGAGAAGGCGCCCCTGCCGATTCTGAGGGTGGCCTGGCTGGGCTCTGGGCCTGAGCCGCCCAGTAAACCCAGGACACGGATGAGATGCCAACCTGACAAACAATGAACAGCTTTCCAGTGTAAGAATGCCGCAATGCCTGCACATGCGGCCGAGACAGCTGGCGGGGGGCGGAGCGCGTCCCAGCTGGGCCCCAGGCTCAGACCACGGAAATCGGGCTGGGCAACGTGCTGTCTTAGGCCCGGTCTATGGTAACTGGTCGCGCAGCTTAGGCACCCGACACAACACAAGCTGTGGGCCACTTCTGTGCGTAATTACCGAGGGACGGACATCTCGGTGGCCAGGACCAAACACACATGAACACACCCTGAAATGTACTTAAGCAAAACCGTCTCACGTTAAGTATTTATGATCATTTTTCCTCCAAAGAATCCAATAGAATTCAAACTCCTGTACTCTCAAACACATCGACGACATCGCCGTGAAATTCAGGTAACTTTCCCCACTGACTTACACGGCTGATAATTTTCTCTACTGACTGAACGTGTCGACGTTAACAGCATCTTTCCACTTACCACCTCCTAACATCTCACGCCACAGCCACTTAAACAGTCCAGCACACACCTGCTGCAGGACAGGCAGTGTGGCGGCCAGGTGGCCTCTGCGGCAGCCCACCTGCCTATGCCGGGGCGGCCTCGCCCGAGGTGGCTGGGATGCAGGAAGGCCCAGAGCGAGGCCGTGTTGACCGAGGCAGCCATTGACAGCCTGTGACAGCCTTTGGCAGCCGAGGCTGATGACTCATGGAGAGCAGGACTGAGAACCATGGCCCAAAGGAGCCTAAAAACCAGCTGAGGGGAAGTGAGTCGCCACAAGCACAGTGAGCCCGGGGTGGCCGCAGAGGGCCGTGCTAGCAGCAGACACGCAAGGAGCCTCAGACACACCACCAAGGCCAGGGCTGTCCCTGCCCTGGCCAAGATCATCTTATCACCCCCATGTAGCCAGGCAACAGCTGCCACCACCACCCACAGCACCTCCGGTGAGGCAGACACAAGAACCCCTAGTTCTCTCCAAGTGGTGCCAAGTAAGACAAGTACATATTTAGTTTAAAAACTGAAAAGTAATTGTTAACACGTGTACTCAAGATTCCATTAAAAAACACCTAAAAGAAAACTAAGTTTTAAAGAGTGAGTCCACGTAAGAAAATCACAAAGTCAATCACGCTAGCACAAGCAGCAGACTCGGGGTCCCCGAGGAGCAGGAGGTCCCGTGGCTCTGCCTTGCCCCCGGGCCCGGCCCCTCATCACACACAGTGCTGCTTTTGCATCTCAGTGCCAGTTGGCAGAAGTCTGAGACCGGAAGGCCACCGTCCACCTCTGACCCCAAGAGCCAGTACTTACAGGCTGAAATATCTTGAGTTTCTTCTTGCCGCTTGGGTTCGCGGCCTTCTCGATTCTTCCCTTTATCCCCTGGTCCTCGCTCGACTTCTGCTCTATGGTCCCGATGCTGGTACAGTCGGTGCCGTCAGCGTCCACGGGCCGGCACCTCGTGTCTGGCCGGTCCGTGGCTTCCGCGCTGGGCTCGTCCTGCACTTGCAGGATGGTGCAGTTGGGGCAGATGTAGTCCTCCCCATTCCGCTCCAGCAGCCTCCCGCGCGCCTCCGAAATGCCCACACAGTCACCATGGAACCACTCCTCACACCGGTCACAGCAGATCATGAACCTGCAATCAGCCAAGAGTCAGGAACAGGCAACGGAGTCGGACGCCCGACTCTGACCTGTTATTGATGTCGCACGGCCTTCGACATTCTGTAATGGGAAAATATAAATGCACGGAAAACTAGAGAATGGATTAATAAACCCCATCTGTCCTCCTCTTGATTTTACCGTCCAACCAACTTCGCTCTATTTTTTTTTTTGAATGGGGCACTTTGTGGGAATAAGACAGGCCTTCATGGATGGCGTCCGCCCCAGACACCGCCAGGCCATGTCCACAACAGCAACAGTGCTACACTCAGCCAGTGAGTGGCACAGGGACTCCCTGCACCACCGGGCACCAGCCACAGCCAGAGGCTCGCAGCCGCCCAGGCGTCCAGGCGGGGATCGTCCCGCCCACGAGCACGTGCTCCTCTGGGGCAGCGGAGAATGGCGTGAGCCGAGAGGAACCTTGGTGCTGATGGCAACATTCAGATGCGTGTCACCGTGTGCTGGCCGCTGGCCACACACGGCTGGTGTGACCAAGGTGGTGAAGAGCCCCATGTGGCCAGCGGCCACCACAGCAGCGTGTGTGGCTCCAGGCAACCCCTCCGTTTGCTTCTGGACGTGCCCTGTTCACCTGACTGTGCTCGCCCGGCCCCACACTGTAACCGGCGAAATCAAAGTGACAAGGAAGTCGCGCTGTCTCCCGCGACCTACCTGTTGTTGTGAGGCTGCCGACACATGCAGTACAGGGCGCTGGGGTCATACACCTCACACTCGGGCTTGTGTCTGACCGAGCCTCCGGGGGCTCCATCCGGCCCTCCCCGAGCCGCTTTCCCTTCCAGCGTGTTCTCTGGGTCGTCTTTTGCCGCCTGCTCGGCCGCGGGCTCTGGCCGGCCAGGCGGTGAGCTCCCCACGGTGTC